GTACACAAATCAACTGGTGAAGCACAAGATGGAGGGAGATTGGGCCTGATTGGAAGGAAGCGAAGAAAGCGAACCTCTGCGGTCAACACTCAGAGTACACAATCTAAGTGTGCATACATACTCTGTCAAGCATTCTCTGACCTGATAATAAATGACAACATGAAGGTCACCACTGTCGGTTAGTCGCCATATCCTTCAGTTTGTCTAGCCAAACAGTTGCAATANNNNTAGACCCCAAACTGGAAGACGGGAAACACCTATTCTACCTGATTGCTGTGTGCATTTCTTCATGTCTCGTTTCCACGTCATCCGTTGACCTCTACGTGGTTTCCTCCAATCTGGAGCTGAAACTGCGAGTAAGGCGCGGTGCGATAGACGACAGCTGGACATGCGCAATACGTGTCCTAACCGGCGAAGTCGACCAATCTGAATTCGATGGGACAATGAACTCTTCGTCGAATCATTACCAAATGTGCGATACTTTAACTCGGAGTTGCTTACACGCTCGCCCCATCCAACTCGCACCAAATTACGTAAACATCTGTAGCCGAATACTTCAAGACGACCAATATGTTCCACGCACAAATTAAGGATCTCGCAACCGTAAAGCAGAACTGACCGCACACTAGCGCAGTATACACAACGTTTCAGTTTCAATGAAACATCACGTCTGCACCAAAGGTGTTTCAGTCCTGCGTAAGCTGCTCGAGTCTTAGAAATGCCCAATCCTGTGAAGCTTACTGTCTGTCTCTGGTTGGTATTTGTTTGTAGTTACCCACCGGATTGTCCCAATAACCGTGAATTCCTAGTGCAATTCTCATGTCCACGTGTAATTGTACTCATCGTTGTTGGCAATGTCAGTCATGACGGAAGTTTCACATCCATTATACCTGTAGTCCGTGACATGCGTAACATCTTTTACACTCGACATAGCTTGAGAAGCTCATCAACTCGGTCCGGTTCTCTACTCTGACAACGCCTGATCCCTACTGGAGGTATTTAAAAGCGTTTAGTGATATTCTCGATCCTCGGGTTAGCGAATTCTTTTGAAATAAATTACTGACTGCATTCTCACCACCTTCCCACCCCCTCCCGTAGTCCCAGATTTAACGGAATTTCCGTTTTAATTACAATCGTGACCCGTGATTCAACCGTTGTTGTAGAGCTTGATAATCGCACCTGACTGAATCGAGCGCGATTACCTCAAGGGAAGGAGCATTGCGTCAACGAGTGGAACCAGAATAAGTGAAACTGTTTATCTATGCGGCAACCCCACAAACGACCCCATTGCTATGCTGCTGGTTGAAACGAGCACAAATCTCTGTACTTCAGGCTATACATGTTGGCGGTCTTTGGTGTTCTAAACTCACCATTCACCTTCTACTTATTTCAAACAGTTCAGTAATTTGTTGAGAGAAAAAAACAAAACATTCTTTTACTGTCAATTTGTGTAACAAATAATTTTCCCAAAGGGCAATCGGATAATCAAACGGCTTCTACAGGAAAGTAGGGATGGTATTCGAGCACGGAGTCCGGAATGATAAGTTGGCTGACTATCTGTACCATTTGACCATCACCATCATCTGCGTGCGATCTTGAGTTCGATCCTGAGTCCGATAGATGATTGAAGGCAACGGGTACTGACCGGCGTTTGGGGTTCACGTCCCCGAACAAATTATCCTATTCCGGCCCGTCCCCATACACATGTTTACTCGTTTGTTTATCTTCTTTTCCGCAGGAAGTTAAGCCGGAGCGATTTTGTGAGACCTGGACTGCGCACAGTTTACGACCCTCGTGTGACCACTGTTCATGTACCAATGACCTAACTCTGAACGTCCCACGCATGAAATGTCTAATTTGTTCTTCCACTACTGTACAGAAAGCGCGTTCTCGTGTGTGTGTGTGTGTGTCTGTGCTAATCACTCATCATCCTTGTCCTCATGAACGATACGAAGAAGAATGTCATCATGCTACGGGAAGGTGGTCTCGGAATTGGTTTGGTTGTTTGTTTGTTGTTCCCATGGAATTTTGGGTTGATCGTCCTTTGTCCGGAATTTCGGTGACCCGAGACGACCGGGTAGTTACAATAATTGGTAGGTTCACTTCTCCTAACTGTCCTCAAACATGGTTCTTGAGTAGCATGGGTTCTGCCAATCACATCCACTGACCCCTCCGGACTCGGTTGTATTTTTCCATTCTCGAAATCTATCCGTTTTGTCCGTCCACCTGCCTCCGATTCTCTCTTTCTCTCTCTCTATCTCTCTTGTATTTATCGGTTCGCCTACCGGCTGGTCAACTATCGTTCTTAGTTGTTGTTTGTTGTTGTTGTTTTTTCTTTGATGTTGTTGTTGTTGTTTTTTGTTTGTTGTTGTTGTTTTTTGTTTGTTGTTGTTGTTGTTGTTGTTTCCACAACCCGTCCACGAAGAGTGCTGCGGCTGGAATCGGACAGAAAAATATGTACTATAATTTTTTATGACACTCTCGCAATCGATCCCCGAGCTCCACTGACCAAATTTCCTACTCCTCTGAAGAGATAAATATTACTGATGTTTGGTTTAGGCTGTCACAGGTAGTCATTACCTTAGATGCTTGAGACCACGTTGGAAGGTAACTAGTTATTTTACATCCCA